AGCAAAGCGTGGATCTCCTACCTTGCGGTGGTGAGCATCGGGTTCCATGAAATTGAAGTTAGAAGATACTTAGGAATGGCCCCTGCCTCACTGAGAGGCCAGGGCGGCCTGAAGAAGCAGGCTGGAAGTTAGAGACAGAGAGAGAGAGGTGCTCCTCACGGATACCCAGTGGGCTGTTGGGGCCTGATTCCAGACACGTGGACCTTGAGAAGCCGCTGAAGTGTAGCTTCAGCCTAGACTCTTGCAGTTGCCACGGCTTTCCTCAGTCCCTTGCATCCAAGGAGAGCCTCTGAAAGGGAATCCTGCCCTCTACTCAGGAGACTTTTCCGGCTCCCAAGGGAGATGGGCGATCCACTGAGGGAGATGCAGGGGAACCTGTCGCTTGAGACTTTGAGATTAGAAGCCAGGCTAGTCCCATTTAAGTGGCTGACAAGAGCCCGATGTTCTGTGCCATAGATGGCTTCCTTCTATAAGGACAGAGAAAGAAAAGGCAGGCTTGGATGCTGATACTCACCTCCGAAGTTATCCCGGACGAGCCCCCAAAGATGATGCCGGGGTTCTTGTTCACAAAGCCAAAGAATGAGCTTCACAAACACTCAAGTTAGGAGAGCAAGGTACAGGCTTTTATTTAGAAATAAAGTGAGAGAATAGAGCTCCTGGCTCACGCTAGGAGGGGACAAGAGAGCCCCAAAAGATTTTTTTTAATTGAGAAAAATTTGAAACATAAACATGGAGACTGATATTTACACATCCAAGCCTCAACAGTTAATGTTTTTGAAAATCTCGCTTCATCATAATCTATTTTAGAGCAAATTCCAGACATCTTTGTCATTTAAGCTGTAAATAACAAAGTAAGGATCATCGTTTCGAGTTGCTGTGTTACAGATTTTCTAAGTAGTTCCACTTAAGAAGATCCAAAATTAAGTGAAAATGAATCACCTAGCAATGAATTTATCAAAGCATTCTTTTTTTTTTTGCTCTTTGTTTATTTATTTATTTTTTAAGAACATATGTTTACTAGACTCTCCCCTTCACCAAGTCCCCCCCACAAATCCCATTATCGTCACTGTCATTCAGTGTAGTAATATACTGTAGAATCACTACTTGTCTTCTCCGTGTTGTAGAGCCCTCCCTATGCCTCCCCTACGTTATACATGCTAATTGTAAGGCCCCTTTTCTTTTCCCCCTGCCCTTATCCCTCCTTTCCCACCCATCCTCCCCAGTCCCTTTCCCTTTGGTAACTGTTAGTCCATTCTTGGTTTCTGTCAATCTGCTGCTATTTTGTTCCTTCAGTTTTCCTTTGTTCTTATACTCCACATATGAGTGAAATCATTTGGTACTTGTCTTTCTCTGCCTGGCTCATTTCACTGAGCATAATACCCTCTAGCTCCATCCATGTTGTTGCAAATGGTAGGATTTGTTTTTTTCTTATGGCTGAATAATATTCCATTGTGTATATGTACCACATCTTCTTTATCCATTCATCTAATGATCGACACTTAGGTTGCTTCCATTTCTTGGCTATTGTAAATAGTGCTGTGATAAACATAGGGGTGCATCTGTCTTTTTCAAACTGAAGTGCTGCATTCTTAGGGTAAATTTCTAGAAGTGGAATTCCTGGATATCAAAGCATTCTTTAAATTACAAAATGAGCAAACTTACATATAATTTTTCAAGAATACACAGTGTATAATCTAAAGTTTATTCATGATCTTCCAAATTTGAGGAACTGATGAACCTCAAATACTGTATAAATAAAACTCTGAAACATTCCATTTCCCCCCATTTCCTGCTTTTATCTGCATTGTTATAGAACCCTACAGTCCTCCTTGTCTCTAATATTTCTATATTCTAATTCACCTTCCATATCCGTAAGATTCATTTTCTGAAACACAGATGTTATATATCATAGCTGAAAAATATCTAGCTGATTTCAAAGTTCTTTTTAGTAAAATCTTACAACCTGCTACCATTGTAGCCCTCTACATACACACACACACACACACCACTCACACTCTGTTAGTTGTTTTTTTGACCAATTGTCTATTTTCTTTCCACTTTTCCGGTGTTTCTACTGACAGAAATACCCTCTTCATAAGTCCATTTGTCTGATTGAAAAACTACTGGTTTTCTGAAGTTTAGCTAAAATCTCATGTTACCTTTTTGGTAGCTCTTCTTGACACTGCCTTTGACAAAATTGGAGAATCCCTTATCTGAAGTTCTATAACATTTGATAATAGCTCTTCTCACAGTATACTGTAGTTACTTATTCACATTTCTGTCTCAGGGGTCTCTTTGCCTTCACCCTAATCGACTACAAGCTGCAGGTTATTCCTAGCAGTCAGTACAGTGCCTGGCATGCCGTAAGAATTCAGTAATAGTTCATTGGATTTAATCACATTATTTTTAGCATCAGCATTTAAAATGTAATTGGGACACTGTGTTATATTCCTAGCATGTTACATATAATAATAGACTTTGAAACAAAGCTGTACAGGGACTTCTTTAATATATCATAATTATGAGGCAATTTTTATGCTATTTTATCAGTAAAGGCCAATTGGGAGGCCTAGTAGCTAGTATCAAATGTTAGAGTTCTTAGACATGAGATCTGCTATTTATCTTGTAGTTATATTTAGACAGAAAAAGATAAGGGAACATGAATATTGGTAGGTAACAGTAATATGAAGTGTTTAAACAATGGGAAACAATGTGAGTGAGAAGGTGTTTTAGCATAGTGGCTTTAGAAGGAATGTTACTAAGCTGAGGGTTCTGTGGGTAAATTATTTTTCAGTAGATTTAACAATTCAGTAGGGAGACCCTGACTTTAGGATACACACCTTGTGGTAAACACAATAGTTCTTTACTTATTTTGTCTTTGTCTAATTTTTTATGGATTGTTAGTTCATAGTGTGTTACTATTTTTGTTAGATATATAGAATATTTTCTGTTCCTCCTTTTATAAACTCTGCTGCAGTTTTTCCTAAGACCACTAGAATGTGCTATAGTACAGTATTTTGTGTTTGAAAATCTTTTTTTTTGTATATATAGGTATAAACAAAAAAATATGTATTAACTCCATATAATTTTATTGCTACTTTTATTCTGTCCTCAGACCAATTACTTTGATTGCTATTTTGACTTCTAGGAGGTATTGTTACTTTGTCTTATGGTAGATGAAGTATGTTTTTGAAAAGTGTGAAGATTGACTATTAATTACATTAAGAACCTTGTTTACTTTCTGGTAACTGTAAGTCAAACGGATGGCTATAACAACATTATTATGAATCACTGAAATAATCAAATGACAAATTGCAGTAATCAACATTATTACAAATACACTGAAATAGACTAGGAAGCATTTAGTCTGGTGATGAAATCTTTGTGATTAAGAAAAGCATTGGGAATAAAGAAAAAGATGTTCTAGATAATTTGGAATAATAAAATAGAAATATATACATATGGTTAATTAATTAAATAACCCAAAATAGTCCACCCTTCTGCATCAGTTCACTGATTTCCCTTCCCAAAGGAAATCTTACTGGTACCTTAAGTATTGTGTTTCCTTCCAGAAATATTCTATGCATATGAAATATATATTTGACACATACATCAAACACATATGGAGGCATATATATGTAACACACTTAAATAAAATATATATGTAGTATTTTTATCTTAGTTTTTAAATTTAAGTTTAGAGATCAATCCATATTAGCATACAAATATTGTTTTCTTTTTAATAGATATATATTATTACAAAACAATTCATGCATTTGCAAAACGTATAAAGACTTAATTTGAAAAATACTCATATACCCACCACCTACCTTAAGAAATAGAACGTCAGCTGTCTATAATTTGCGTGTTTTCTTAAGATTCCCCTTTATATGAAACTCTGATTTTGCTGTTATAACTGCAAAATAATCATTGCAAAATAATGTGAATTCTAGTACATTACACATTTGAGCAAATAATACTCATTTCCCTTATGCTTTTCTTGAAATATAAAGACTTTATAGTAAATGCTCAATTAGTTTTTATAAAAAAAAAATAACTTTCAAATTTGTCTATGTTACCCTTTTATTCTTTATTACTTTATTACTTTGGTTCTTAAAACTTATTGTTGCTATTATCTCAGGCTTATTACATTGAATGCTTACTGTAAGTGGCCTCAATATTTTAGGGAAGCAAATAAGTCAAAATATACAAATAACCAAGTAAGTATGGCCATTTCTGGTTTTTTTTTTTTCTTTTTTTACCTTATCTGGATTATTTTTCTGGTCTCAGATGTTTAAATCTGAGATGGCGAAATCTGGTTAACTAGAAATAATATTCAGTTAGCTTCAAAAGAAGATATACAAGAATTCCTGGGTACAATTCTTCCTGAAAAGGCAAAGGATATCTTGACTGTTAAGAATGTGTTAAAAAAAATATAAAATGTATAAAAAAATTATACATTCTTACTGAAATATCTTATTCAACACTGATAATTTGGGCTGGTTTCCCCTCTCGCCTGTGGATTGTTCAATATATTGCATACTTGGCAAGTCATAGTTGCCTGATAAGGTACAGTGTGTTATAGATGACTTTTCTTTTTAAAAAACTCAGTTTTGAGAAAGGTCAGTCAATTTTACAAGTTTATTTCACAATCCAGATTTTATCTGCTGCTTTTGATAGTACAATTGTATTCTAGCAATCAAGAAAATTTAATACTACAGAAACTAGGATGTTATAAGGGCTCATTTGTGATTACAGAAAGATTTATGGTTCCTAGTTTATTCCTTTGTTTGTTATAATGGCATCTGATGGTATAACAACAACAAAATAATGACAGGTGCTTTTGTATTATGACTTTGACACCATACAAAGGCTGTAAGACTTGAAAAGTTAGCCAGAAGTATGCATACTGATGACTACTCCTATTACATATCTTGAAGTTCATTTAAATATGTTTTAAGATGGTTTGTATTTTCTCACCTTTTTTTTTTTTTTGTTAGAGCCAAATACCACAAGTTGAAATATGGGACAGAATTGAATCAGGGAGATATGAAGCCTCCAAGCTATGATTCTGGTAAGCTAATTTTAAAGGAAGTTTAAGTGATTAAAAAGAAGCTAATATCTAGTATTTTATAGCAACAATATTTATAACTGCAAGTTCATTTCTTATTATTTGCATATTATTTTTTCTGACCTACTTTTGGCACTAATCATTCAGTGTCTTTTAGATCATTTTTCATTATCTTCCTTCCTTTTTCAGTTTCCCTTTCTTTTAGTTCCCTATTTTCTGCTTATTTCTACACCTACTGGAAGGAACAGAATTTATGGGGTAACTTATACCAACATAACTGTGTCTTATGGGGTTTCCCCAGTATTAATGGGACCTTGAGATGGTAGTACAAAGTATATCATACCCTTGAAATCCAAGAAAAAGAGTAGGAACTGTAGAGATTTCTTCTTCAAGTACAGGGGAATTCCTAATCGCTTAAACCTAGTCCCTCAGTTTCAGGTACAAAATTATTTTGGTTTTCTCACCCACAGGAGATTCTTTACCCATACCATTTTTTAACAACAGAAACATTTATTATCTTTTTGTGTTATTCTTTTTCCTTCTCTTAATATCCTTTTTGCCCCACCAAACAATACAAAAATAGTACTTGTAAATAATCAACTACTAAGAAGTATAGATAGATATAAGTGACTTATTGCTAGGTGTAAGGGAAAAGTAAGAAAAGTTGTTCAAAAAGTTTTCACTATGTTTCAGAGAAGTGTATTTTGTCATAATTTCAGATTTAATTCCTGGTCAAATATCTGGAGATATCAGTTATTGTTTATATCATTTACTGAAATATTTGCCTTGTACTCGGGGCCTTATGTATATTAACTTTAAATCTTAAAAATAGTTACTCAATAAAGATATGAGAAATTTTAACTCAGAAAGGTGGAGAAACTTGCCCAAGGTCACACAGCTGTCTGTCTTCCTCCAAAATTCATATTCTTCCCATTTTACCACACTGCTTCTATATTTATGTGTGAAAGATTCTTAAAAATAAGTTCTCAGTGTGTTGCCAATTTTATAGTTTAATTCGTTGTATCATTGTTATTAACATTTCCACATAACAGCTGAATATAGAATCCTTTGAGATGAGAGCAATATCAATTAATCATTGGTATTTTCTTTCATTTTTTAATTGCTCTTTTATTTTGGTCTCTCTTCTTTTAACTTGAGATGCATCTAAATTAAAAAAAAATTTCTCTTTTAAAATCTGGACTTTAATCAAGACTGTCCCAAAAGTGTGTTTTCTTATTCAAAGGATTCATTTTAATCAGTGTTTCCACATAAAAAGTTTGTTTCCTAATTTTTAGATATCAATTTCGGAGTATAAAGGACTAGTTACAATATACACAAAATGTTTATAAGTAAGCATCCAAACAAATGGGCTTTGAAATCATATACATATGTTTGACTCTGCCCTGACAATTTAAATACCTTTTTAAAGTAAGTGATATTACTTAATCTCTCTGAGGTTGCTCCATTCTTCAGCTGTACACTGGGAAAAATTCTGGAAATAATTCCTAACTCCCAGGTTTACTTTCTTAGTATACAATGCCTAGTTACTATGTAGTTTTTTTTATATCTGTCCATCTTTCAAACTATTCATCTTACAGATATTAAATAGATAGTGCTTGTCAGACCCAGCACCAAATTCAATGAATAAGATGATAATTTTCTATTGGATTTTTATTGGGAATATAAGAATAAAATGATTACAATACATTCACATATATAATGGGGAGAAGTAATAGGTGTTGTGGAGCACAGTAGTAGGGAAACCAAATTTAATTGTTAATTAAGTGTTATTTGGTCAAGGAAGGCTTCCTGCAAGCAGTGTGTTTAAAGTTGACATCTGAAGGACAAGTAAGAATTAGGGAAAGTGGACTGTTTGTTGAATAAGAGGTGGGAGAAAGAGTATTACTGCTGAAGTTTCTGAGGGAAGAATATGGCACATTTGAGAAATGAAATCACTGGCTGGGAGTGGGCAGGAGGTTAGAGTTATTAGCAAGGCGGACAGCTGATAAAATATGTTACATGGGTCTTGTATGTTAAGTAGTTCACACTGTAACCCAAGAATTATGAGAAGGCATTGAAGCATCTTAATTAGGGCCCTTGTGATCAGATTTATTCTTAGATCACACAGAGCAATCTGGAAGAAGGATTAGAAAAGAGCAGAATTGGAGATGGAGAGATTGGCTAGAGGACTATTATAGCCTCTGGGTCAATGATGAAGGCTACCTTAATAAGGGTGCTAAGAATGGAGTTGAAGTGGGTGTGTTCAGGAAATATTTTGGAAGTAAAATCTGCAGGAATTAGTTCTTGTTTGGATGTAAGAGGTGAACAAAAAGGACACTCAAAGATGACCACCATACCTCCAGCATAAAGAACTAGACCAGAAGTAGGTTTAGAAGGTGGTGGGTTTGCTTTTCAACTTATTTATTAGGTAGTCAATTGAAGATGGCTAGTAGAGAGTTGGGTGTAGAGACTGGAGAGGTATTAGTGTGTAATACTGATGGCACTCAAGGCCATTGGAGTGGAAGAGCTCACCCAGGGACCTTATGCAGAGTGAGACGAAGACCTAAAATGTAGTCATAAGGAACAGCAGTATTTAAGAACCTGGTAGATAGGAACAAAACAGCAGCGGAATTACAGAACCCAAAAATAGACTAATAGGTACCAAAGGGAAAGGGACCGGGGAGGATGGGTGGGCAGGGAGGGATAAGGTGGGGGAAGAAGAAAGGGGGTACTAAGATTAGCATGCATAGAGGGGGAGGAGAAAGGGGAGGGCTGTACAACACAGAGAGGACAAGTAGTGATTCTACAACATTTTGCTATGCTGATAGACAGTGACTGTGAACTGGTTTATAGGGGGGACCTGGTATAGGGGAGAGCCTAGTAAACATAATATTCTTCATGTAAGTGTAGATTAAAGATAACAAAAAAAAACCTGGTAGAATAGAAACCTGAAAAGGAAATTGATAAGGATGATCTTATGGTAGGAGGAAGACCAGTGGAAACCAAGAGCAGTAAGGACCCTTCAGCACTACTGATTAGTGCCTAGAGGGCCGAAGAGTGTCTCTAGGACAGCTGTGACACACAGCTCTCTGAGAACTGTATTAAGGGCAGTTGTAGGGGAGAGATGAAGGCAGAAACAAAGTCATAAGAGGAAAATGAAGATGAGGTGTGGCCAACTTTTAGGAAGCTTAGGTTGTGAAGGTGAAGGAGAGGATTAGAGGTTAACAGCTGAAAGGACATGGGGTTAAGGAAGTTTGTGTGTGTGTGTATGTGTGTGTACGATAGAAGAGGTGCAAATAAAAGGGAGAGAATAGAGATACTCAAAATAGGAAGGTATCTGAATAAGTGATAGGGATTGGATTCTGAAGGTAGGTGGAGAAAGAATGTCAGGAAGAGCATGTCTTTTATTGTTACCAAGAGAATGTAGGAAGCTAGGTGATGGGTTTGTAGGTTTGGGTTTCAGTTTAGTGGTGGGTAGTTAATATGATAACTTTATGTATGAGACAGAATTATCTGCTAAGTATGTCAGAGGGCTAAGAAAAGTAGAGGTTTACATAATATTGAACAGGAGGACAAACTAAGAACTAAGTAGGATTGAGAAAAGCTAAGGGTTTAGTTGAGGTGAGTGATCATGAGATTATATAGAAGCACTGGTCTGCACACTTGGCACTGGGTAAAAGAATGAAAATAGTAGTTGAATTCACTGAATTCATGAAGAGACATGGGGGCAAAAAAATTGACATTGGCCAAAGAATGGTTGAAGTGATAGACTGAAATAAAACTAGAGAGAGAAGGAAGTGAAGACAATAGGAACCTAATGGGTAAAAAAAAACAGAAGTAGGGGGATAGGCTTATGATCTAGAGCAGTTGAGCAAGATTTTTCTTTTAGAGCCAGGTAGTAATATTTGGGCTTTGCAGACCATATGTTCTCTGTTGCAGACACTCAACTCTGCCATTATAACATGAAAGCAGCCACAATACAAAATGAGCATGGAATGCCAGATTTGACCAGCATACTGTAATTTGCGGGTCCCTGGTGTAAGGCTGTAGCTAAATTTGGGAATGTTGAGCCTGAAGGATATGCTCAGAGAAAAAGTTTGCATCTGTGACTGTTTTTCATAATGATAAAATCAGTCTGAGGTATGGCAGCTAGAGAGGGTAGTAGTGTCTTAAGTGGGTGACCCACATGAATACTGAATTCACTCAGGTTGATGTAAAAGTTTGGTTGCAGAGGAAGCATGCTAGCCTGGGTAGGAGCATTATCAGTGGATTTGTAGATGACAGTGATAAGGACAGTGACTAGGAGAGGGCAGAAAGTGATATATCCAAATAGGGTAAACCTTAAAGAAGCAGGGATTTTTCTGTTCTTTGTTCTTTTGTCTATTTACTGTTTAAAACTGATAATTGAGACATTTTCTGAAACATTTCCCACAAAAAATTAGTATGCTCTCTGACTTTTTTTTGGTTTTGTTTTGTTCCACCCTCAGACCTTCACAATTCTACTTTAGGAGAATATCGCTCCAGGTTATGTTAAAGTCTATTTATCTTCCATATTTCAGTTTCTCCTATTTAATATTAGAAGATAGATACTTATATATTTACATTTAACATGACAGATTCTGCCTTTTAACTGAGATGTTTAGACCATTTACATTTAATATTGACTATTGATATAGTTAGGGTTAAAGCTACCGCCTTTGCTATTTGTTTTCTATTCTGTCTGGTTTTTGCTTCATTTTCCTCTGTTCCATATTTCTTTTGGATTAATCTAGTATTTTTTATGATTTCATTTTCTCTCTTGCTGACTTATTAGTTGGAACCCTTCGTTATTTTAGCAGTTATTTTGGATATATATAATACATGTTTTTAACTTACTGCAGTCTATCTTTAAATGATAATATACCACGTCATGTGTAGTATCAGAACCTTATGTCTCTTCTGTCTTTGTGCAGTTGTTTTCATATGTTTTGCTTCTGTGTATGTTATAAACCATACATCACTACATTATTATTTTTTGTTTCAACAGTCAATTCTCTTTTAAAGAGATTTAAATAATATAAAAACTATATTTTAATTGCTCGTCATAATGTGGGTCCATATTTTTGAGTATCATTTTCCATCTGCCTTAAGGACTTCCTTTAATATGGGCTGCTGATAATAAATTGTTCAGCTTTTGTGTGTCTGAAAAGTCTTCATTTTGCTTACTTGCATTGTTTCTGATGATAACTTCTGTCATCCTTGTCTTTTGTTCCTTTGTATAGAATGTGACCTTTTTCTCTGGCTACTTACAAGGTTTTTTCTTTATCACTGGTTTTAAGCAATTTTATTATGATATGCTCTGGTGTATCCAGCCCCCTGTGCAGTGTTTCTTTTATTTGGGGTTTGTTGAATTTCTTAGGTCTGTGGGTTTATACTATAATGAAGTTTTGAACTTTTCAACTATTCTTAAGCTACTGTTTTTGTTCCCCCTCCCACTGCTGTGATCTGGAAACTACCCAGGCAGTGAGCCGGAACAGTCGCAGGGCTCACCTATTTGCTTCCTTCTCTCAGGGACTGCTGTCCCTTGCTGCCTGATGTCTGGTGTTGCAACCATTGTTTCACCTATTTTGTTTTATGGTTGTTTCAAGCAGAGGGTCAATTGGGTCCCTGTTACTCAAAACTGACTGGAAGTGCAAGTCAAATACTGTTATTATTACCAGGAAGTTCAACTCCTTTCCACTTTAAAACCCTCACTTTTGTATAATACCCTTTTTTGTACTTGATAAGGTAAGAGTGAATCTAATAGTTGATAACTACTTACTAAGCATTGAGAGAACTGTGAATTTTTCCTGGATAAGGAAGTGTAGGAAAAATCAAGTCCACATGTGCGAGAGTTTTTTTTTAACCTCATACTTTTTTTTAATGTCACATATTGCCCAGAGAGTCTGCTTTTATCTCAGTATAAGAATATATTTTTTTAAAAAGAGGGTGAGGATGTACTCTTCTTTGATTTGACTTACTTTAGTTTTTGTTGAGATATAATTTACATACAGTAAAACTCACCTTTTTAGTGTTTTCATAAGCATATACCATCTTATTACTCCTGCCCTTTGTAGTGAACTCCTCTCTCCCCACTCTAATCCTCTTGCAACAACTGACCTGTTTTCTGTACCTTAGTTTTGCCTTTTCCCAAAAGTCATGTGAATTCCAGAACAATACAGAATGTAGCCTTTTGATTCTAGCTTCTCCCAGTTAGTATTTGATACGCACACATTGGCATGTATCAGTAGTTTATTTCTTGTTGAGTAGTAGTCCATTGAATGGCTGTACCACACTTTGATAATATTACTCACTGCCAAAATAGGCAAGGCCATTGAGTGTATCTGAGGATGGCATAGAAAGAACTGAGGCCTATTTTGATGGAAAATTAGATGACCTCAAAAGTTCTCTCACATCTGAAATTTTTAGTTTTTGAAATGCCAGTATAAATGGTAATACTTGGCAAGTACAGGTTACTCACTTGACTTAAGAAGGGATATACTGGAACATATTATGTTATATACACAGTTCCTGAATTTGTGGGTCAGTGGAAACATTCAGACAACTTGACATACTTACTGATTACTCTTTAAATTCTGTATGTGAATTGACATCTCTATCCTGAAATTTTCAGACTGAGATTCTAACCTTTGACAGATTTTCTGGTTTTATTTCTCTGACTTGGGCATTTCATAGCAATTCAAAGTATTATACAGCATTCCTAAGCATTTTATAGCAGCCTGCAAGTTTCGACTTCCACTGTTGATGTATAAAGGATACTTTGTAATGGACTTAAATGAACCTCGCAACAGTGCAGTAGTTCTGTGGTAGGCCACTTCGCTGCCTGAAGTGAGGTTGCCAAGCTGAAAAGAGGCAGGGGTTGTTCGGGGAGGTGTATTCAATCCTTCACCCAGTGGGACCCTCCTGGGGCCGCTGCAAGGCCTTCTTGGTCCGAGGCCATTTGGACAGGCGGAACTTGTAACCTCGAGGAAACCAAGTGCTCAGAGTGCCTTAATTTTAACCAGTTCTCAATAAATGGTTGAATTAAAAAAAAATGCCAGATTTGACCAGCATGCTGTAATTTGCTGGTCCCTGGTGGGGACCAGCAAATTGTTTTTTTTTTTTGTTTTTTTTGTGATGGTCAATGTCTTTACTTCTAAAGCATATGTTGGACTCACTATATAGTAACATGAGAAGGGTCTATCTAAAATAGAGGCATTCTTTAAAAAATCCAAATCCTCACATTTTTATATAAGATCCAAAATGACATGAAATTAAACTATATAATGTTATGAATAGTATAACAACTGCTTTTAGAAAGCAAAATGAAAGGAAAAAATTAGCAGTTGGGTCTGTTGTTAGCCTAGGCTGCATGTCTTTTGAGGCATTGTGACTGAGAGCCAGCACTGAGGGGAAGGACCAGCCCTCTCTACAGGCATAGGAGGGGAACCCCGTCAGATAGAGGAGGCAGATGTGGGCCTTTCAGACTTAGAATGAGAGTGGGACAAGGTGGGTTTCCCTGCTCCTCTGGGCCTTTGGTGTGTGCACTGATTAAAGGCCCCTTTCATGACCCACAACCAGGGAAGGGCTGTAAAAGGGCAAGGACACAGCTGGGTTCAAAATAATCACTTTGATAGTACAGGTCCTTTGGGCTTCCAGAGGAGGGCCCTGATGGTCCAGCAGTATCATTTTTTACTAAGTATTGAGACAATGTTTTTGCCCTTTTTAAAAAAAATGTCATTCCAAAGTAATCTTCCTTTTTGAGTTAACTTAATCCTCCTCATCTTCCTGCTTGCCATCTATTCTACTGCTATTTCTTTGTTATATCACAGTGCTTGGCCTAGTTATTTTAGGAGAAAAATGAAAATGCAAGATCTAAGTCTTATTTTTATTTATGTATTTCTCATCATTGTAGTGATAGCATGTGGAGGAAATTATATGAATTCTGGAGTTAGACATTATGTCAACACTTACAACTGTATTTCTAACTTAGGAACCTTACAGTTAATCTGTAAAACTTTAAACATGGATAGTATTAACCTGCCTTTTGAAGTTCTAAAGATCAGAAGAAGTAAATATATGTTTTTAACACAGCATCTGGAACACAGTAAATGCTGAGTATCAAATACCAGTCTCTCTCATGTCTCCACTTGAATAAAATCCTATAAAGATCACAGTTTCTTTTAGTTTGATGAAGTTTTATCAAGGGAAAGCATGAACTTTTTTGTATTTTTAAAGTTGAGCCATAGTATAGAAATTCTTGGAAAATCTCTAGTCCAGGTGTATCAAGAGAAGGCTCCTTTAGTTTTGCCACCTTCTTGTAAGGATTCAGCTTCTATCAAATGATGAATTTAAGCCTTACGTGGTTTAGGAGGTCTTCATTCAAAGAAAGTCTTTAAAGAATACTTGAGGTTGTCATTTAGTAACTAGTGAAGGAAATAGATTTATATTGAGCTTATTTCTTACCTAACAACTTTTTACCAAACTGGCTTTTCTACCATAATTCCGGGGTATTTTGTTCTAGTTCTGATAGGGTGCTTCATAATACTTTTATTTGACTGTATTATTTGATTTGTATAAGTCTTTGTCCTGGAGAAAAATTCTCAAACTGTAAAGACAGGAAATCTTTATTTTAGTTCTGTGACTCTCAGAGGAATCAAGTAGCAATAATGAATTTATATTACTTTTGTTATGAAAACTATACATAAAAACAATTTACATTGTCTTAAAACATACCTTACGGTGCAGTTTTACATATTATAAGTTTTTATTGGACATTTTTTATGAATCAGTATGCCCTCTATTGTATAAAACAAGTCAGTTTTATTATGATTTAATGTTTTGCAGATGAAGGTAATGAAACAGAGGTGCAGCCACAACAAAACAGCCAGTTAATGTGGAAACAAGGTCGACAGCTACTCAGACAGTGAGTATCCCACAATCAGCCTAATTAGGAGAAGCATATTTTTATGAGATTATTTGTATTTTGCATGTTCAACTCAATTATCTTATCTCTTATATTATTATACAGCTGCTATGAAAAAGTTTAATTGAATTGCTGTTCCTTTTTTATATTAAACACCTTTTCCCCTATGGTGGAATTTATTTTTTATTAAATATTAATAAGAATTATCAAGAATAAATTTTTTGCATAATTTTAGCTTTATCAAAGAAAGTACAATTTTAAGCTCCTAAATTTTATTATACACTTAAATTTATAATTTAAAGAATTATCTAGCCTTACAGTTATTCTTTTCTTTACATTTTTTATGCATGTTTTAATATGTCTAAGCAATCTTTACACGTAATTGTTATTGTTTTGAAACTATTTTAAACAGATCAAAGAAGTTCTTGAATTTCCCAAATTTGCAAATACTATACTAACATATACTTTCTCCTATAAAATGTATATATGAGGCTATAAAGAGGAAACAAAAGTTGGGTTGTGTTTCAGATGTCACGTAGTGGGCTAGCCCCACTCACTGGCTCAATGCCTGGTCCTTACATATCACATTTGAAACTGATATTCAGATTTGTGCCTCAGGAAAATGAAGTTTGCTACCTGTTTGTACTTTTAGGGTTGCTTCTGAGTAATCTAACTTGTGTTTCCAAAGTCATGCACACCAGCTGTGCCTGTTGATGACGGGAAGAAAATATTAAAATCTCTCCTCATACCTATTTTTATCTACTCAAAGTTAGAAGAAGTGATATTTCACTAATATTTAAGTATTTTCACTTGTACCCTCACTTTGGTCTTAAATATGATTGATGCATTTCTCTCTATAAATAACTGTTCTTAAAGTACTGATCTTTTAAGATATATGTATGTTTTTTAATGAGAAATGGTTATCATTCCAAGAGGTGTTTTCAGAAACTTCAGAAGACTCATAATCTGCTCCTCAAAGTCAAAGGGACATTTTAATCAATGAATGAAGAAGTAACTATTTAGTAAAGCCAACTTGTCTAGGGAAAGAGTTTTTAAAAGTTACTTGTAATGTGACTTTGTTGCCAAAGTGAATGTGTATGGAAGATTATTTGTTAACCAAAACAACACCTTTATATTAATTTGTAAGAACAATTCATTAAATTCAGGAAAGTTAGAAATTTATTATCCAAATTTTAATCAAAACCTTTCTGTAAATATTGGATAGGATTGAAGAATGTGTGTCTTGATTTGATAGGATACGCTTTTGGTCACATATCTTTTTGAGCTATAATAACTATTAACATCCTTTCTGGAAGTAAACTGACCTTAGACTGGTCATCTTGTCCACCTTTGTTTTCTCTTTCATCTTATTGCCTTTTCATTTTCCTGCCACTACCCTTTTGGTCTTTTCAGTCATCTTTGTTGCTAACAGATACTGAGTGCCTTCTGTGGGCTGGATGTGTTGTTTTCAGGGGAAAGAAAACTGAGGATCAGGAGAATTAAAGTCACACAGGAAGAAAGTAGCAGAAATGGGCTTTAAACCCAGGTCTAAATCTCAATACAAAGTCTGTTCTCTTTTCTCTGGGCTGCTGCCTCTCTGTAACACACCCCCTGCAGTGCACAATTGCATCCCACATCCCACAATTGAATTGCAGTCTACTTGTATTTTAGAGTTGCTCAGGATAGGAACTTCCTTGCATTGAAGTGACTTTTTGGAATATAGTACTGTCTTCTTGTGTGTCATGTGTCATGGAGGAAATCATATATGCTAGAAACATTCTTTCTAGACCTCAAGCAGTTGATCCAAAGATACTTTACATCAGAAATGTAAAAAGACTACTGGTTATAATAATTACTATTAAAAAATAGTAATTCAGTAGAATCTAAGAGTAAGTTTGCTCCAATCCTGCCTAGCAGAAAGAATGTGCTTTTAGGTATATCAAGGAACAGCCTCATACGGTAAGTGTGATGAATGGTGTATTGTATAGTTCTCTGATTTTTCTCAGTGACCATAGAGACTGGTACTGCAAGAGACAGCTCCATCTGCAGCTGGAAGATTATTTATTAGCAAGTCTTACTAGCATAGTACTGTACTGTTAAGTCTTATTCAGGCAATGTATTTAAATAAATACTTTTATTTACATATTAAGTTATAGAATACTGATTCCAGTATGACTGAATTGTGAGGATCCTCTTCACACACAGGTATCTACAGGAGGTGGGTTACACAGATACTATCCTAGACGTGAAATCTAAACGAGTGCGAGCCTTGTTGGGTTTTTCAAGTGAAGTCACGGACAGAGACGATGACAAAAATCAGGACTCAGTAATAAATGGCACAGAGGCTGAAGTTAAAGAGACAGCAATGATTGGGTAAGTATTTTTTCTCAGAAATGTTTTAGCTATAACTTTCATTATTAAATATTTTTCATTTATGGTTGATACTTGTGATACTTGCACTTTTAGATACTGCTACAGAAATAATTATAATAAAATTCAATAAAAAACCTTCCCTTGGTAGAAGGTAACACATAGGGATTAGAGTTATCATTTGTGATTATTTTAGATATTTAAGATATTTTTATTTGAGATTTATGGATTTAATATAGATTTTAATATCTTGAAGCTCAATTAATATTAGAAATTCATAAAAGATCTTACTTAGAAATTCAGTTCAAATCTGTTAGAATGAAATTTCACTCCTGGTGACCCAGAAATCATATAATTATCTCAAAGTGTTTAGAACTAAACCTTTTCTTAGGCACTTTGTTTGCCTAATAATGTTGTAACTCATCTTTCCTTTGAAAAATACCTACTATTTCAAGTATATGTTTATAATTGATAAAATAAGAATAAAGAATTCAATAGCTGTTTGAAAATTTTTGTTTTGCTTTTTGTATAATGTATCATAAAATTATATATAATTCTGCCTAAAATGAACATGAATAGTTATATAGTGAATTCTTTATTGAAAAAAATTTGACATCATTCTTAAAGAAATAAAAAGCCAAAGATTCTGTGTGCAAGTCTAAATATGATGTTACTTTATGTTGGTGCATATTTAGACTGGAAAAATGGTTTTAATTGGATTCTGTTCATGTTCTAGTGAGAACATAGTTTCTGTTATTGGGAATATAAACAAAAAATTATGAGATTTAGATAAATTCAGAAAAATGACTATAAATGAATATTGGAGCCTTCTTAAATGTATTCATTAATAATTAATATACATTAACTTGTTTTAAGGAATATAAGATGTAGATTGTTTCTCTGTGTAGATATAGACAATGTTGACATTATTCTTGGCTATATTTTCACCTGAAGGGTTAACTTAAGTCATATTCAGAAAAAGACCACTCTAGTTGTCTTGTGTTTTGGCCTTGATCCTGTCTTTTGAGACAGACAGGGGTGTTATTCTGAATCTGTCTGAGTTATGCAGGAATAGAGAATATGGTGGAAAAAACAAAAACAACTCTTAGCAGATTGGAAATTTAAGATTTATCTGTTTTGAAAATTTGGGCTATAGCTGTGGCTAAATTTTTTTAGGAAAATGCTTTCTTGTGTAAAACATTTACTAATGAATGAACTGGAGAGAAAAAATCATCCTGTTCTGGCCAGTAGGAAATTGTTCACTGCATTTATTTTGAAGGAACTAAATTAAAATCTTACATATTTGAAAAGTCAATCATTTCTAAGAGGTTAATAGTTTACTCACCAATAGATCAAGTTTTGTAGTAATATTAACTTGACTAATAAATTGTTTCTGGTAACTTCATGTGCACATTTGCTTTTTTCAACTCTTCAGCTGTTAGCAAAAATGTAAGATTGCATCAGAGAAAAATGACATAATAGTTACTTTCTCAGTTATGAAAACTTACATGACAGAAGAAGAGTTGCAGAGAAGGAAAGAATTTTAAAAAATAGAGACAGAGATAATAGGAAAAATGTTTTTAAAAAGAAATACGTTAAGGTTGACTTAAAGATTAAATAATACTGAATGAAGAGGGGGAAGTCTTTACATAAGATCACCATTAATCTAAATAGATATGATTGCAAAATTCTTTTAAAAGAGTAACCACTTCCTATATTGCTTTTCAGTTAACATCCATGGAAATGTGATGGGTAAGAATCACTATAGATCCAATGTTGCTTATGTGAAACCGTCATAAGATTGTATATCAATGATATCTTAATTTAAAAAAATAGAGTGTAAATCCTAATATGATTTCGGGGATCATACTTACATTCTAAATGGAAGTTAGTATAATGTATTACAGATTAGTTCTTGTGTTGAGTTTAAAAAATTAACTAAACAAGATGTGCATGTTTTACCCCAGAAAATCCGAGTTAACAGATTCTGCCTCTGTGCTGGATAATTTCAAATTCCTGGAAAGTGCAGCTGCAGATTTTAGTGATGAAGATGAAGATGATGACATTGATGGAAGAGAGAAAAGCACCATTGATACTTCAACGGTTAGTTGGATGACTCAGATTCAAGTATTTTAGGGGCCATTTTATATACTTTAAATATAACCCATGTCTTTTCTCCTCAACCTTTAACTTTTTTTTCATGAATTTGGGGAGATTTGATTTTAAAAGAGTTTTTAGTATTGAGGTAGAATTCAAGAATATTTTTAGGGTAGCAGCTTCTCTTAAATGTCTTCACTCTTTGACTTATTTATTCATTAAGTATTTCAACATTTATATAGGGCTGGTGGATATGGTAAATGTGTGTGTTACAACAGTGCACATTACTGGTGCTCTAAGACAATAGATCTGACAGATGCGTTACGGTGCCTGATGGAGGCTGGCATCAACTTGAATCCGTGTGGTTTTTGTCTCTCTTGTCTGGGTTGCTTTGGTAGACAAGCTTTACAGACTTTCAGTACTGTTCCACTAGATCTCTTCAACTTTGTTTAGGGTCTTCTGTAGTTTTGTTTTGGTCTCATAAGTTTGTTTTGATCTATATAAACTACCATGGTAGTTTCCTGGAATAAGAGTTGCTTCTTCTCCCTTCTCTTCCCTTCTCCATTCTGTCCCCTTCAAGGTACCCCTCTCCCGCGCCACTTCTTTTCTTTCTCCCTACTTTTTCTCCCTTCTCTCTCTTCCTCCTCCTCCTTTTCTTAAGAGATGAGGGAGTGCTTTGCTTTGTTTAGGAAAATACATTTCCTCTTTTAAGAAGAGGGAAGGGGAAAGCAAGGTAATACTAAAGCTGACTGGACCTAAAGTCAAAAGCCCTAGGTTTAAGTATGAGGTCTGTCACTGATTGTTTGTGCTTCTTAATCCTTCAGGCTTAGTTTTCTAGTTTGTAAAATAGAGATTATAATAAATTTATTTTATATAATTTTTTATATTTTTTATAAGCAGCTTATTTTTCTTTACCATCATACCTTTAGTTAAGTGTAAGAATGATCTTGAAATTATACATACATATGAAAAGTGATCAATTTCAGACTCTATGAAAGGTAAATTCATCAGTAACACTTAGTCTCTACATTCAGACACTTTAGGAGGAAAAAGTAATAGGGTTAAGAATCATTACCTTTTAGTCACAATATAAAGTTTTAATCATAGTATAAAAAAAATCCCATGTTGGTGTTATGCTTCTTCTGACAGTTTTCAAAGTGACAGTCTATCCTTTTTTCTTATCTTCTTGATACTCTGTTCAACCCATAACTTCTTTGTGTTTGCTTTAATTTCTTAAGTTGGTTGGTACTTCATTGAAGGTAGGAGTGGAGCGGAACCTGAGATAAACAGGTGCTCTTACAGTAAACCCCACCCCTTCCCATGTCTAATCTACTCTCTTGGTGACCACAGTTCATTTTTATTTTATGCATAACCATTAAAAACATGAGTTTTTGTTTATTTATGTAAATGAGATATTGGATAGACAGTGATCTGTAAATTACCATATCTTTATTCTTTGTAAGGTCATATGGAGGAGATAAGACCTAAAAACAGAGTTTATTCCCCAAGGAGTTAGTTTTGTGACTGAATACTGTATTTAGTAATAACTAATATTTGTAGTACATTCAGACTGTCAATTTAAGGTTCCAGATACTTCTGTATTTTTTCCTGTCCTTTTCGTCAGGCTTTCAGACCAAGAATTCTCTATCTGCGAGAATTTTCTATCTATAAGACATTGGTGATGGCCCCTCTGAATTATGTCTGGTGTCACATCAGGGTGAGGAGAATGGAGCAATCAAGCCTATGGGGTAAAAGAAGTAGATAAGCAAAGCATTTGTATGTACAACTTGAAGATCAGTGTCTTCTGTTGGTATAACTCTTCAGAGACATTTCTCTACATTAGTCTGGCTACCCAGGAAAAATTAGAACAGATTATTAGTATATGGCTTATAAATACTTACAGAATAATACACCTTCAGCTTGACTTTCTCTTCACAATTTGTTAGATTTATCTTGCTTTTTTTGTTTGATAGATTTGCTACCTGGTAGATTGGGATATGCTGTAAATGTCTATCCTTATTTTAGGAAATAATCTAAATAATACCAATTATCCTAACATTATAGAATCCTTAAGTTCTCCTATTTAGTTTTTATATATATCAGGAAAATAAGACAGATTAGGTTTCATTTACAGAAAATTTGCCAGTTTTCTTCTGTTGAGTGGCTTTCTGGGGTGCTGACCTGAGAAGGATTTCCAAGGCTATATGTGGTTTAGATGAAAAATGCCAAAGTGCTGTGATTGATAAGTAATATCAGCAATGAGTGTGAGAACAGGGCCATACAAATCAGGTATTTGTTTCTCTCTTATTAGAGTCTATTTTTAGACTGTGTAGTCTATGCCCAGTGATCTGTCTGTTGAACATTTATAATTTTAAACCACTCAATAGCCCAGTGACATAGTTTGATCAGACAATGTGTTTTCTGTTTTGCATGAAGAAGCTGAGGTCTAGAGAAGTTGAGATACTGAGTCCATATTATCTAAAGAAGCTACAAACCAGTCATCCTGATTTCTTTGGGCTTCTGGTGGTGGTGACTAAAAAGGAGATCATTCATAAAGAGGATTGTGATATAGATCTCCAAAATCATCTCTGCATGCATTAAGCTTAACTCCAAGTGGATTTGTGATTCCAGGGAAATAGTCCTAAATAAATAAAAATGAGACTTAATAGCCCTTACCAGATTTGCTATTAAATCTAAGTCAAGTCTCTGAATGATTAATGTTTTAGGAAAAATTTGAATATATAGAGAAATATTTGAGAAAATTGAGACAGTAGAAATAAAGTGTCCTCCCCACTGCCACCTGCAAACAGAATACCTTCTAAGTCTTGAGGCATGCATTTGAATTTGTAGCTTTTGTGATGTTAGGTTTTGCAAGGGAATAATGTAATAGAGTTAAAATTTATCATGGTAATACTCTAAAAACTCTTGCAGTGTTTCATGAAGTATTTCATGTTTGGCCAGATTAAAATGTCTGCATACTGCACAGACTGTATCTAAGAAATGTGAGATTTGGTTGTGTGGTTCTCATAATACAGTAATGTGACAGGGACATTTTTCATTTATCTGTAATTTAAATATATGTCTTATATTCCAGTGTTTTCAATATATGATCCCATTAGTTTAATTAAACAAGCCCGTCATTGACCAAAATTTAAAATACTACTTTAAAATGTGTAATCTTTTAAAAATGATATCTGTGTTTTTCATGGGAGTTTGATTAAGTATTACAGTTATTTACACAATAAAGATAGACTTTGTGAGGAAAACAGTAATTGTTTTTTCTCATTCAGTGGTAAAAGGGATGCCATCTTCATATTTAAATTAATTCCATAGTATATCCTAGTATTTTAACTTACCATATTTTTTATTAGATTGTTAGGAAAAAAGCATTGCCTGATAGCAGTGAAGACCGAGATACAAAAGAAGCTCTAAAGGAATTTGACTTCTTGATTACATCAGAGGAAGGGGACACTGAATCCAGAAGTGCCGGCGATGGAACAGACTGGGGTAAGGAAGCACACCGGATCCAACCAGAGGTGTTAAGTACATAAGAGAATATCTCACCAGGAGGGCAAAATCTTGAATAACACTTTAAATCTCTTACAATGTTGCAATGTTGAACTCATATGGATGTATGAATTTTTTACTACTGTTAACTTTTACCCCTTGTGTGTTGTGTGTGTGTATGTCTGTCTGTCTCTGTGTTTAAAGAGATTGTACAACTAGTCAACTCATCTTTTTTTTCAAAATAAGCAATATAATGTGAGAATAATTTGAAATCATATACAGAATGTTCTCTGTCTAAACAGTAGAACTTTTGCAGATCTAGATTTTGTGGAAATTGAATATGAGAATGTAATAGAGGTTTTAGAGATCTTATCTCTATCATCTGTGCAAAAAGAATTATAAACTAAAAAATTACAATCATTCTAGTAAGGTTTTATCAATTTGTACAAGGCATACAATTCTTTTTTGCACAAATTGTTCTAAATGAATTTATTTTGAACAATTAGCAGGAGTTAAGACAAGTATTTTGGGGGAAAGTTTTTTAGCACAGGTCTTTCTAGGAGTTTAGAAATGAATTGTTGCTATCAATTAGGTAGGATTGTGATAACTTCTTCTAAAGTAATCGGTTCCATCAGGTATATGTGTATGTGTGAGTAAGAGAGACAGTCTGACAGGTAGTGAGAATGAGAGAAAATCTTTTCTTGAGGTTGTAGAATTCCAGGACTCCCTTAGTTACAGAATATACTTTATACTTTAAAGACAGATGAGGTTAGAGAATTAGTAATGTCATACAGTGAATTATAAGAAATACGTATTTGGTCACTCACATGACCAAATGTATATTTTCCAGGTATATTTTATCTTTATCCACAGGTCCTGAAAACACTACAGTTGTAAAGGTAAAACAGGTGTTTTGTCATGTTAATGAGAGACTGACTTTCAGATCCCCATCCAAGGCAGGGGCTGAAAGCTGAATCAGCCAGTAATTTAGTCAGTCATGATTATGTGCAATGAAGCCCTCACAAAACCTCGGAGGAGCTTTTTGCTCACTCTGTCTGCTGTGCTCTGCTCTGCCTGCTCTGCTGGGTTGGGCCCTGCTTCTTGGTCAGAGAGAGCTTCTATGCTTGGGGAACTGGAACGCTTCCATGTGCCACCAAGCCAGGCCCCAAGCTCCACAAGGAGAGAACCTCCTTTATTTAGGACCTTGCCCAAGTCTTCATCTGGCTGTTAACTTGTGTCCTTTATGGTATCCTTTATTAAACTGATAAACATAAGTGTTTTCCTGAGTTCTGTGAGCTGCTCTAGCAAATTAATCGAACCTAAGTGGGAGGCCATGGGAACCTCCAACCTGTAGATGATAGGCCAGAAGCACAGAACTGCCTGGGGCTTGCGCCCAGCATCTGGAGTCAGGGGTGGAGGGCAGTCTTGTAGGACAGACCCTTAACTGGGGAATCTGGTGCTGTGTCCAGGCAGGTGGCATCAGAATTGAGTTGAGTTCTTGGACACCCTGCTTGTGTTTTTAGAATTGCTTCGTGTTAGTATGTGTGGGAAGACCCCCTGCCACATACTTAACACACATTGGAATCGAGTCCAGGAACCTGACTGGAGTTATACTATTACTGCTTTGTATGATATTGTTATTGTTATAGATATATGTAGGGAACAAAGACACCCTTGCATTTGGTGTCAGATGGCTTGGAATTGAAGGTAATTACATTTATTTTTCTTGGATCTTTCCTTGGGGCTTTCAGGGAATCTGATGATGCCACTTCTTTTCCTTTGTGGCAAGTTTTTGAAGAATTATTTGGTATAAATACTTAGTCATTGAAGAATACAGTAGCTGTTTAGTTACAGACATTTTTTTTCAACAGAGCAAAGGGGAAACCAGAGGAAGTTACAAAGCAAGTCTTTTTCTTATCTTATTCCCCACTGAGCTTATATACCAAGTTACTTAGATATTTTAGGCAACAACAGTTCTATCAGTATGGCTAGATCTACTGTGTTACTGTTACAGGTTAATTTTTTCTCTGTTTTTGTCCCTGCTGCAACAAAGAATTGAAAGGCAGAGACACAGTAGTGAAGCAGAGGGAGTTTTACTTGAATATACCCAAGGCAGGAATGGGCCAGATCCTAGGCAGACAGAGGCAGTTTTATTTGAATACACCCCAAGAGAGGAGCACCTGTTTATCACCACCTAACTGGGAGGCACTTCTTTTTTTTGAGAGGGCATCTCTCATATTTATTGATCAAATGGTTGTTAACAACAATAAGATTCAGTATAGGGGGGGTCAATGCTCAATGTACAATCATTAATCCATCTCAAGTCTAATTCTCGTCAGTCTCCAATCTTCTGAAGCATAACGAACAAGTTCTTACATGGTGAACGAATTCTTACATAGTGAATAAATTCTTACATGGTGAACAGTACAAGGGCATTCATCACAGAAACTTTCGGTTTTGATCACGCATTATGACCTATAAACAATCAGGTCAAATATGAATATTCGTTTGATTTTTGTACTTGATTTATATGTTGATCCCACATTTCTCCCTTTATTATTATTATTATTTTTATTTTTAATAAAATGCTGAAGTGGTAGGTAGATGCAAGATAAAGGTAGAAAACATAGTTTAGTGCTGTAAGAGGGCAAATGTAGATGATCAGATGATCAGGTGTGTGCCTATGGACTAAGTATTAATCCAGGCTAGACAAGGGCAGCAGAACATCCACAGATGCAGAAGATTCTCTCAAAGCAGGGGGGGTGAGGTTCTGAGCCTCACCTCTGTTGATCCCCAAATTCTCACCTGATGGCCCCCCTGCGACTGTGCCTGTCTTAGGTTGTTTGGGAGGCACTTCTTTTGATTGACAGGTGAGGTCATTTAATTGACAGCTCTAGTTAAACATCCATTCCTCCTCTTGGTGTGCATGTCTTTAACCAAAATGCATACAGAAAAGCCCAAGGAGGGGAGCAAAAACCGCAATTTTATTTCAATGAGACTATCAGGAGATGTGGTTGGGGTGGTTCTTAGTTTTGTTCGATTGCACAGGCATTGGGACCTCGCTGGGACTGGTTTGTCCTGGTCCCCGATAGGCAAGAAGTTATCTCCCTGCAAAGCCTTTGTAGTCTTCACATGGGACTCCCTGCCTGGGCAGAGTTTGGGCATTTTTTTATTTTTATTTTTTATTAAGGTATTATTGATATACACTCTTATGAAGGTTTCACATGAAAAAAACAATGTGGTTACTGCATTTACCCATATTATCAAGTCCCCACGCATACCCCAATACTGTCAGTGCAGCAAGATGGGTATTTTTTTTTTTTCCTTGAAACTTATCTTCCCCTTTCCAGCTGCTCAGGTGTCTTTCTACCTAACACTACACTAACATCTTTCTCAGAATGGTCACATATCTCCATAACTAATAGTTGGCTCTTTTCATTGTAGTCTTATTTCAAGGATTTTTGGGACTCATTTTTTCTCAAAGACAGCTGTATTGTTCCTTGTGTAACTTTCTTTGTTTTAAAGGGTGAGTGAGTAGTGGCCCAGAGTATATATATATGATACATGTATGTACATTTTAACCTAACCTGCTATGTTGTTACTAGTGAAAACATGAATAACTGTTCCTGCATTTAAGCTTTCCTTTAGTAGTATACTACTTAAGCTTATGAGTATGAGTATTGAGTGTTCCAGTTGACTGTCAGGAATTTGGTCTTGCATGTTTTAAGAATTTTGTGATTCAACTTCAAAGCATTTAACTTTTAAGTGCTTAACAAAACTAGATTGCAAATCTTGTTTAGTTGCATGGACATCATTTAAAGTGCTTCTTTTAAGGGACTAGCAATTACGAAAGGGAAGGGAGTAGGGAGGAGGGGGACTGGTGATGAATGTATTAAAATTATGATAAGGCTAAATTTTTACTTAAAAACTAAAGACGTTCTAGGATCCAAAAGCCACACATTTTAAGGGGCATTATGATCAGCACACATAATATGGCATATCACGGGGAAGGCAGTATAGCACAGAAAAGACAAATAGTGACTCTATAGCATCTTACTACGCTGATGGACAGTGACTGCAGTGGGGTGGGTGGGAACTTGATAATATGGGTGAATGTAAATAACCACAATGTTGCTCATGTGAAACCTTCATAAGATTGTATATCAATGATATCTTAATAAAAAAAACATAGACACTTTCTAAAAAATAAAAAATAAAGTCCTTCTTTTATTCCCACTCCCTTAATTTAAGAGTGAATACACTTATGTTAAGAATCTCATTAATTTCTGGCAAGTAAATAGATTTTACCATACATCTTCCATGATCTTCCATTACTGTTGTTGTTATGAGTCTTATTAAAATTATGATAAGGCTAAATTTTTACTTAAAAACTAAAGACATTCTAGGATCCAAAAGCCACACATTTTAATTTATTAAGAACATGAAAGTTTGGTGAACATTTTAAATTGTTAGACCTTTCTGGAAAAATAGAAACTTTCTACTATTGATAGATTATAAAATCTATAAAAACATTGAGTTTTTAAAATATATTGTCTTTAGTATATTCAGAGGCCCAAACAGTTTTTTAAACTGTGTGTTGAAACTTAATTTGTTAAAGATAGATTCCTATTTGTTGTGATTCATTTCATTTTATTCTTATCATTCAACAAATATTGATCAAGTGTCTTCTGTGTGCCAGGTCTTTTGGTGAAGAATCCTACCCCTATAGTCCATACAGTCTACAGGCAATAAGCAATAAACATGATAAATGATATATATATAGTATGTCAAGGTGATAAATGCTATGGGAAATAAAAAAAAAAAAGTAGAACAGACACCATGTAAGAACTTGTTCGTTATGCTTCAGAAGATTGGAGACTGTCGAGAGTTGGGCTTGGGGTTGATTAATGATTGTGCATTGAGTCCCCTATACAGAATTTTATTGTTGTTAACAACCATTTGATCAATAAATATGAGAGATGCCCTCTCAAAAAAAAAAAAAATAGAACAGAGTAAGGGGGATAGAGAGTTCTGTCATTGGGGTGGTGTAACTCCTGGGGAAAAATGTATTCCCAGCCCAGAGCAAATAAACCTGTGAAACCAAAATCAGTCGAGGGAAAAACTAGATGGGGAGAGAGCCTTTATTGCTCATAAGCTTGGCTTTGTTTGTCTCTCTTTCTCTGGCCACAACTCCCCTCGTGCCCATTTCAGTCTCATTCTGATGGGGGAGGCCAAAAACCTCTCCTGTCCCTGTGCACTCATCTCTCCATTCTCCCCTTGTAAATACCTGTTGATATGCAGATGGACTAAGGAGAGAATGGCTTCTCTCCTTTGCTTATCAGCCCCTGTTGATATGAAGATAGACTAAGGCCAGGCAAGAGGTTCTGGATTGCAGTTTTACCCACAGCCCACCCCTCTAGAAATCTGCCTCCAATCTACTCACTTCCCATCTTCCACAATGGCTCCTGTATGAGAAAGCTGGAGCACTGTAACCAGACTAATAATGTATAGTAACAACAGCAATAGAATCATGATGACCCTCAAGCTGGAGGATCCAGGTAGGTTCAAAGTCCTATTCAGATTAAGTGCATAGCTTGCCCATTCCACAGGAGGCCAACAGCTGAACTGGTAGGGAGCTCCATGCATGCTCAGCAAGCAGCAGCTGCAGCCATGGATGGGGTGGGTCCGAGCTGCAAGGAATGTAGATGAACACCAGCATAGACAATATTTGTCCATCAAGTAAGATGCATGCAAGAGAGTGGACCTGTGATAGGACTGGCAGGAACGGGGTAGATGTAGCATTACTGGAAACACAGGCACTGGCCATAATAATAAGACACAACTTCCCTGGAAAGTGCTTTTACCTTCCAGCTGTTTGGGTACAGTACCATGACCTTTGGGGGCCACTCTGCTGTTACTCCAGGGACACATAAGAGGCCAGCTCTCAGGAGTCATCCCCAAAGGTGTCAGAAAGGCCAGACATTGCTGGGCCATGTGTCAAAATGTCCAGAGCCATGTAGTCTCCAGGTTGCTGTGGGACTCAGTCACATAATGATTTCCTACCAGGCAGAGGCAGGCCTCACTGACAGACTACAGTCCACATTGTCTTCTGGCCTAACCCAATTGTCTGCTCCATCATTCCCTGGGGATGCCAATGCAAATGGCCAACAAGTTGTTGCTAGAGGCCCCAGTTATGCGGACATTTAGTTTGTCCATTTTGCAATAGTGGAGGTAATTGCACGTTTTCTCCCAGCCCCACCTGATGCCCTCATGTGCCAAGGGGCCCAAGGGCTTCAGAATTTGTGCCAAGTGCAGGATAAACACTCCAGTAGGCTACAAGACTCAAAACCTCTTGTGGTAATGCCACAGTTATCTGTAAGAGAATCAGAGGTGAGCATAACATCATACACAACATTAGACTTCCCTGTTCCCAAGGAGGTTCAGGCTTATTCTATTCTCACAGCTCCACCCCTGTATAGGAGTGGGGGCCTCAGAACACCACTCAGGGTCACAGTAAACCAAGAAGCATCTGGTTCCTGTGTCCACTAGAGCCAGGACACTACATATCCACTGGGGACTGATCATTCATTCAACATGGGACCTCTGTTGCAAGAGGCTCCAGCCAGCCCTCCAAGGCAGATGCCTTGACCCTCCCCTCTGTCAAATCGTAACTCCAAACTGTCTTCTGGCAAAAGTCCAGGTGGGTTTTGCATGTCCTCCCCCAGGAAGTCCTGCAGGCACACAGGCCAGCCATAGGGCTTTGCCTCTGGCTTCCATGTCTTGGACCTCAGTGGCTAGAACTGCTGCTCTGGCTTTAATTGGTGCCACAGTTCCTAAAAGGTCCTATTAGACTGCCCATCAATTTTTTCTTTCACTGCTCCCACCTTTATCAAGTCAGCCCACATCTGAGTCCTCAAGACCTTCATGGGGCCCTTTCAGCCTTAGACTGTACTTCTTTCTGTGCTTTTATTGTTTCAACCTCCCCCAGATCTGCTAAAGTATGAGTAACCTCACTTATGGGTCGCCCTATGTAGGGGGTGAGAACAGTCACTGGGAGCCCAAAGAGGGGTGGGGGAGCTGTATGAAGCACCAGATTTCTCATTCCTCTGGTGAACAACTCCTCTTCATGGCCCTGGGGGGTCCGATACTATAGATGACATTTTTCATGCCCAGATCCCATAACACCTGCTGGAGCTCTGCATATGTTTTCCAGCTAGTGGGTAAGTATGGTAAATCACCCTGATTAGGCCAAACTGCCCTTATAGTTTCTGTTAGCCTATCCAGAAGTGCCTGATTCCCTGAGGTGTGATGGGCGCTTTGCAACTGCTACTGGAGGGAAGATGTGAGTCATCAGGGAAGCCAATCTGCCCATTTCAGAACCTGACATAACAATGTTTTCCACCCCCATATCCCAAAGATGCAAAAGCCATGTAGGCAGAGGTTCCGACAGCTTCTGCCAAACCTGGATGCTCAAATCCACCCGCTCACCTAGGTATGGGGTATGACATGGAGTGCTCCACAACCTGGGGAGGGGTCTGCTCCATGCCTAGTAACCCGGGGTTGTTGTGTTTTGATTTTCTTAATTACAACTTGTTGGGTCTTTAACATGGGAGGGACTGGTGCCTTGGGTGGTGCCATCACTAGGGCTGAAGGCACCACTCCTTCCTCCCCCTTCCCCATGGCCTCCTGCAGCTTCGATTCTCCTGCCTCCTTCTCCCTTGCCACTAACTTGTCTTTCAGTAGCGTAATCTCAGTTCTCAATGACTGTTTTTCTTAAGAGTATCCCATAGCTCATTGTCCAGCTCCTCCAAGTGACGCCAAAGGATGTCTCCCTCCTCAGTAACCCTTTCCAATGCCTTGAGAAACAACAACCCCACAATCCCTGTTGACACACGGCAATTTAGGGCCCCTAAGTAGTCCCCTACCTCACAGAGAGCTAATTCCCCAGCTTCTGGTGTCTCCACCCTTCCCCAGTTCTGAGGAGTAACCCACTCGTCTAGGAGGCACTTTACCCTAGACCAATTCCCCAGTAGGGGCTCCCTGAGTGGAAGCCCCATGGTAGGGGGTTGCTGGGTGAAGCTGTACCAGCCACAGAGGTGTTTCTGGTTGTCTCCCCACCATCTCTAGGGGCAGCCCACCCAAGCATCACATCAGTGAAGATGGAGTTTGGGTTGAGAGATCCTGCCAACTACTCCAGGTCTAACTCCCAGGGGAAAGCGCTTTCCCAGCCCAGGGCAAATAAACCTGTGAAATGAAAATCAGTTGAGGGAAAAACTGAATGGGGAGAAAGCCTTTATTGCTCACAAGAAGCCTGGTTCCATTTGTCTCTCTGTGGCCACTGATCACCTCTCGCCGGTTTCTCTCCCTTTTCGGCTGGGGAGGCCTAAACCTTTCCTGTCCTGGCATGCTTGCCTCTCCACCTGCCCCTTGTAAACACCTATTGATATGGAGATGGACTGAGGCCAAATGAGGGATTCTAGAAATATTGGCAATTTTACCCACAGGTGGGATTTAAAATTTTAAATGTGTGGTCCTGGTAAGCCCCATCAAGAGGGTAACATTTGAACAAGACTTGAAGTTGATGAGGGAGTTAGCTCCATGGTATGGGGGAAGGAGTTTTTGGGGAGAAGAAAGCCAGAGCAAGTGCCCTAAGATAGTAGAATCCTGTTACACTTGAGAATTTGAGGAAGGGTGGCTGGAGCAGTAATTCTAAGGGGAATGTAGTTAGAAATGAGCAAATTATGTAGAGCCATGTAAACCACTGGTGAAATGGGGAACTGTGAGAGAGATTTGAGGAGAAGGGCGACATGATCTGACTTATTTTAAAGCATCATTATGGCTGCTCTATTTAGATTTGACCGCTAGGGCAACCAGTATTGATAATAGGCCTGGAGGCGAGAGGGGACAGTTACTGCAGTAATTCTAGTCAGAGAGAGTGATTAGAGAAGTAGTGGATGTGCTGCGTAGGCAGATTCTGGATGTATTTGAAGGTAGAGAAAACAATATTTCCTGAAATTTTGATGTCGGGTGTGAAAGAAAGGTACGTTTTTTAATTTGAGCAAATGGAAGTATGACATTGCCATCATATAAGATGGGGAATATTGTGGATGGGAGAGACTGAATGTGGGAGACAGAGAGTTTTGTTTTTTTATAACTAGTTTGAGATATCTGTTAGACTTCCTAATGGAAACATAGTTAGCAGTTGGATTTATGAGTCTTGAGTTTAAGCAAAAGTTCTGAGCTAGCACTTAGATAACATGTGGTCTATAAGTTAATTTAGAGTAAACATAAAATATTCAACATTTATTCTTTAAATTTTCTTGTCCTGAAATAGTGAAAATTAATGATTTAATTTCTTTTCTACTAGAAGCTTAACTTCCTGTTTTAGGAATTTGTAAACTAACTAAATCACTAAAATTGTTTGATATTTTGAATGAAGGTTGCTTGATAAGCTTACAGTGTTATTTGTAAGACCTGTAAAATGAATACAATCATTTGCTGATGAACATTTCAGGATGTAAAATTTTTGGCATGAAAATATCATCAAAGACTGTTTTGTACAATTTCTTAATAATCTTCACTCATTACATAAATTAATAGGAAATGTTTTTTGTGAGTCAGTCCTAAATGAATTTAGAAAATGGGATGAAAATGAGAGGTTCTTGATTACAGAGTTTTTGGGCTTAATTTACTAAAAGTCATTCAAATCTTCTGGGTAGTTTTTTTCCTATGTCTCTTTTAAAGGAAATTTAATATTACCTAGGACATTGAAGTGATCATTGTTTCTTAGATACTGCATTTTGTGTGACTTATATATCTAATTAATAAGCAATAACTTTTAAAAATTAGTGATACAATGAAGAAAAATGGTTATTATGTCATTCATTGACATAAAAGTGAATTGACTTAGTGTGTTCAATATTTTATTGAAAAAGGCTGTTTCATTTGTTTCACTCTGTTTAGAAAAGGAAGACCAGTGTCTCATGCCTGAAGCCTGGAATGTGGACCAGGGAGTAATTACCAAACTCAAGGAACAATACAAAAAGGAGAGAAAGGGGAAAAAGGGGGTGAAGAGTAAGTGGAAAACATTGTATCTGTAAATCATAAATCTTGCCTCTTTTGCATTCCCCAATTTTTTTTCAATGTTTTCCTAAAACTACTTACTCTTTTTCTTTTCTGCTCCTGACCTCTTTCCTTTCACCTGTTCTCAGGGGTTGAGATTAAATGGTCAGCTATTTGATTATGAACTTACAGAAAACAAGCCATGCATGTGATTATGGTATCATAATATATCCCAATAATAAATCCAGAGCCTCATGGTAGTGTGGGACTGTGTATTCAAACATAGCAATAACTTCATTTTTAAAAGTATATGTGCTTATTATTACAACAAAGATTTTTCACTGTCGACAGTTTTAAATTACAGGTCTTATGGCAATCCACCAAAATTATTGCTCTTAACTTTAGATCTTGGAGACAGAAAGAAAGTTAATTTCTACCCCTGAATATTCTGTGTGTTTATAACACACAGCTCATTTGCTATCACCGCTATCTGCTGTACAGGGCAGAGAGTCAACTACACAACTTTTAAAAGTATTTATTTTCTAATTAAAAATTTTTTATTTATAATATTACCAATTAGCATTTGTGTTTTCAATAACATATGCCACATCAAAAAATGGAGGCAGAAATGAAATTTCTAGCCCTTTGAATCATATATATATATAGTTCATTATGCAAATTATTAGTAAGTTTAGCAGTAGATCTAGTTAAGTGTATAAAGTGGAAATACAGAAGCTTTTAGACATCCCTGAAGACCATCACAAACACCTTATTTAGGGAATCAAGACTAAATACTTCCTTGTGTTTCCACTTTCACTGACTATGAAAAATATGGCAATAGGAGTTTCACCCTCTAGAATATTAAAGAATATAAGTTGAGATTAAAATCCAGCTTAATGAGACATGTATTTACAAGTTGCAGAAGACTGAAAGAATGTCCTGTCTTTTTTTATTTTTTTATAGTGATGCTAAGGCTTATCAAAGACCATTCATTCCTGTTAGAACATTCTTTTAAATCTCATAGTCACTTATAAACATTTAAATCTTTATTTAAAATACCTTAGAATTTACAAGTATGTAGCTTGAATGGATAAAAAGTCAGTGGTTCTTGGTAATGTCATCGTACCAACCGTTATATAAGTGAGAGATGATGTCATTTGATGTCTCAATATAAATTAAATCACAATGAGAATGATTAATATTAAAACATAAGAACATTTTGTACCTCTTATCCAAATATACTGATAAAATTTAAACAATAGTGAGACATTTGTTATGGCTTTTCTGCTAAACTGAAAACAAACCAGCAAAACAAATTTTGAGGAAAATTTGTATATCATACATGAGAAATAAGGAGAATAATTTTCACATTGACTTAAAGTTGATGTATTTAAGTCATTATGCTATAATAATATATGTCTTGAGATGTAAAAGATCTTTCTATTGGAAAGGTATCTAGGATTTATGTAGAATCCATCTACTATTATATTGATGATTCAGTTTTTTATATTTGGCAAGTATCAAGGCACTGTTATAGTTGGAATTTAGCACCTAATGGTCTAAAACTGCACCATTTGACTGGAACAGTATTCTTACCAATAGAAGCTTTTGAATTTCGTGAATCTGGGGATTATGATCCATATTCAGGCATAAAACAAATAATTTTTTAGTTTGGCATAGAAAAATGGCTCTCTAGGGGGAGAAATTTTAATGTCTTTCACTGAAGATAGAAGGACTATATAGAACTGAGGTTCAGCACATTTTGTTTATCATTTGTCATTTCATACTGTGATAAAATGGTAGTCTGAGAACAAGTGAAGATGTATTAACAGAACTGAAGCAAAGCTTTGAATTGATGTGTGAAGTATTAATTTATAAATCACCATAAATATTTTTTTTATTGAACTACTTGTTACCCCTTGGAAAAATTTGAGTGCTTTTAGTACAGTGTAGTAGAATTATTTCCAGTCAAATTGTGTACTCCAGTCATATTTTCTTGAAATATGTTTCTAGGTATTAGTCAAAATTACCTAAAAATAGTTGTATTCTTTGCTGGTATAGGGAAAAAACATAACGGACTATGGGTAAGATTTTCCCATTCTTAATTAAACTTATAACAGGAAAAACTACCGAAGATCTGTTTCAGCCTCTATCCTATATAAAACAGTCAAAACAGGGATTTGGGAGAATGAAGAATCAAACTTCAGGTAAGTAAATTGGCAGGGAATGAGACTTCACCTCAGGTACCATAGCATCAGGTTGTAAGGCAATGACTGTAACTTAATTCAAACAAACAAAAATGGATATTGTTGTTTAATTCACACATAGTAGCTTCACAATCTGGTATCTGTCTGCAGTTAGATCAATATTTATACTGTTTTTAATGGTCCAAATTGCACATGAGCCTTCTTTTTCATGCAAATAGTGATGCTATTCCATTAGTCTAATTTTAAAAATACATGTAAAACAGAATTCTTCTCAAGAACTAAACTTTTAAAATAATTCAGAAGTTTTGAAAATGATTACTTTTTACTATAGTAGGGTAGTCTTAAAGGTGAATATTGGCAGATGTGAATGTTTTATGGCACCACTATGATGCAGTTGAATAATTTTGTTTCCTCTTTTTTGTTCTCTTCCTCCCCTTTTTTGGGCTAGGGCCCAATAGGTCAAAACTACAAGATATGCTTGCTAATTTGAGAGATGTTGATGAGCTTCCCTCATTGCAGCCATCTGTGGGTTCACCTTCCAGACCGAGCAGCTCCAGGCTTCCTGAACATGAGATAAATAGGGCAGATGAGGGTAAGTATTTAAGACTCTCTGGAGCACAAAAAGCACCTGGATATAAATTCAGTTTTTTAGAAAGGACTGTCTAAGAGAAGAATTATAATAATAAAATTGTATATAATACAATAAAATTGTATAATAATAAAACATAAACAAGTGTATGATCTATATAGTCTTCCCCAAATATAGGCTTTCTTATATTCAAGAAAGTTTGATTCCAACTTTAATCTTTAAGTCTTGAAAAAAGGGTGCAGGAACTTAAAAACCAACCCTAAATTCTAGTTTAGAACATCCTCTAGTTCCACAGAAGCTATGTATTTGGTATGTATAGGAACGTGTGATTGAGAAATGAGAAAATGAAGTCTATAAATAGGTAGTAAATGTTTGATTCTCACATACATATTTTCAGGTATTTTATTTAATTAAGTTATCATTGATAAATGAGAAACAGAAAAAGATAGCTGAAAGTCAAGTCACGTTTTCTACTTTCTGTTCTTCCTTGTTCTCTTTCTGTCCTTGTCTATATGCATATAATTTTTTACAAAGTTATAATCACCATGTAGAAAATTCTGTTTTAGTTTATTTAACATGAAATCATAAAATTTTCATAATTATAGTTTTAAGATTACATGTAATATTTTATACTTGATACTTAACCATTGCCCTTTTGCATATTTAGATTGTTCCCAGTGTTTTACAGCCCAGTCTTGTGGTCTTTTTTAGTTCTTTCTGTCTTTTTTAGACAGAAGTGCTGATTTATCTATTTATAAATGTATAAAATGCTTATTTGTGGAAATTGATTTTAAAATACATACTTACATGCACCCAAAATCCAGTATTACATAAAAGTAATCTTAATGATTAATGAATAAATTTCAAAATTTACTTTTATTAAAAATCACCTTGAATATAAATACTGTAATTATCTTCAGTTGGTATGCCTCTTCAAATTATTATTAATTGAAGAAAATAACCTGGGAAAAAGTCACTGAAAAATCATTGGTGTTTCTCTTGGTTTTTAAGTTCAGTTGCCTTTTAGAGAGACATAAATTAATAGGACTTTGATGTGTAGCTTTTCATGCTTGGACTACTTTTCAGTGAAATTTTTGACCATTACATGGTTAGTTATTTGTTAATTATAGTATACATGGAATTTATTACCCATATGTTAAATAACAGTCACACATTACACTTTTATTCTCTAGATGAACAATTTATTTGATGTAGACATGTCTTTTGAGTTAAAGATGTGAAGTCATGGGCCTCAGTAGTATGTTTGTTATCCATTAGTAGATTAATTCAGTCGACACTGTAGATGTGAGAATTTTAATCAGTGTCACTTATTCTAAGATCAGGTCTAGATAAGAAGAAAAGTTAGTTTTTCTCTTATTTTAATAACTCCAGATGAGTTTCTTCAGATATTTCATCTTGCATAGTTTTACTAGTAGGGGTAGAATATATACTGTTTACTAAATGATAAATGTATAAGAGAATTTTATAAGCCACAGAAAGTGCCCTTGACTGAAAAGAAATATTTAGGAACCTTAAAACTGAAGCATCGAATCTATAACCTATTGTCTGTAATATTCGTCCTAAGCCTTCCCCCTCAGTGCAGGGTTTTCAGAAATAGAAAAAGCACTTAAGAAATATATTGTGTTTTTAATTGCCTGTAGCTGATGCTTATTGGTTTCCAGTCCACTTTCAGAAAAAGCTTCCATAGCTAAATATGTTCATTAATTACTTTTTTATTTTAATAATTCAGAAGGCAGTGCCATACTTAAGAGGCACAGTTAAATAATTTTGTAAAAACTGATTAGAACTGTTGATGATTTAGTTAGCAGATAGAAATGTGACTGACAGTCTTCAGTTCTAAGGAATCTGAAAGGGCAGTCAGATGACAGCTATGCCCATATTTCTCTCTCTCTCCAGCCCTCGTGTCTCCTGGCTTAGGCCCTGGGGTGTGTGGAAGTGGCTATTGCCTTCCTCTGTTTCCAGGTTTTACTTGGCCATTTCTGGAGCATTAGTTAAATTAGCCCAAATAATGAATCTGGTCAAATCTCATGAATCTTTATTTTAAAGAGTCTTCTTTTTTCACACCTGAGCAAAGTTATCTGGAAATACTAGAATTGAAAACAAAACAGACAGAAAACACCTGTCTGAAGACGTATTATCATAGTCTCACATGAATCATTGGGTTGAAATTTGGCATGAAAATTGCTGTTCTGATTTAATCCCCACTTTACATCGGTAAATGTTTAGAGTTGCTTTAACCTCTCAGAGAATATGTGGTGTGTTTGGATAAAACCCATTTTTATTATTGCTCTTAATTGTATGGTGGTTTGAAAAAGTCTTACTCAATTTATACTTTGTTACAAGGATTTTAAGTAGAGTTTTTGCCACTACTCTTTTTCAGAGCACATAACTGTTCTTTCATTTCTCTAACAGATATTTATGACCAAATCAAAAATTATGATTGAATCTAAAGCTGAAAACACAATCCTGTATTATACACATACTAATTAATACAGTTGACTTGTTTCATTTATGAAAAATTTAATTTCCTTCCTTAGCAACCAGAGTTCATACTACTAAATTATCTAGTCAATTCATAAATGTTTGTCATCAGTAAAGTAACCACCTCCAGAAAACTACTTAAGGACCATCTCGATGGTTTGTCTGAATAATTTGCGTTTACAAAAAGTGATTATTTTATTATTGACCAAGTTGAGTAAAATCTCCATTTTAATTTAGCATTTTCTTTTTAACTGGTTCTTCTATGATGTGTCTGAAGGAATTGCATTGATATGTGCTCTATTACAAAATAAGGATATTTAAATTTGTCACTGAGTAAGTCTGACCTCTTGAAGCACAATTGTCAGCTAATGAAAGTTTTCAAGTGGACACTTAAAAAAATTCCTTTGAAGTAAACATTTTAAAATGAAGCATAACATACCTACAGAAAAAATGCTGAAGTCATGAAGGTGCAGCTCAGTGAATTAACATAAAGTGAATCCAGTCATTAAACCACTAGATGATACTGTAGCTATGGTTAAGATATGGGAAAAGGCAATTCTTCAGGATTTTCTGCTCACTGAATTTTACTGTGTTCAAAAGCATTTAAAAATAATCAAATGTAAACATGTTCTTACTGTTGATTCTTTAGAGGTTTTTCATGTTACTTTTGTCTTCCGCCTTTAGTGGAAGCATTGACATTTCCTCCTTCTTCTGGGAAGTCATTCATCATGGGAGCAGATGAAGCACTTGAAAGTGAACTGGGACTTGGAGAATTGGCAGGCCTTACAGTGGCCAATGAAGCAGATTCACTAACTTATGATGTGAGTAGTAGTTTTATTTTGGTTGTTTTTACTCATTTTTTGAAAATATAAGTTAATTTTATGGAAAAAGATGTAAATGGTAAAACTTTTTCACAAGCATAGGATTTAGTTCAGTCTTAATCACAAATATTGAAAATATGAATATATTATAAAGATAAAAAATAATTTTTTTCATCATGGAGATTAAATTATGGGCTCTACCTAAATCCATAAGCCAGTCTAATTTATTCATTGATTTTTAGATAAGGGAAATAATTTTATTACCAAATTTGGGTTTTGTTTTATGTTTTAGGGCCCTAATGATGAGTTGAGATTCATGCCTGCTTAATGGCAACATTTGTCTTGCTTGTTTTGTATGTTATCAATATCCTGCTGAGAGGTGATTTTAACTCTTGTTAGGCAGGGATATATATAGGGTGCTTTCCAGACTTTACAGCTAACCCATTGTTTAATTGTCTAATTTAGACCAAAGTTGAAATCTTTATACCTTTATGTGTGCATGCATTTACTTAATCCCAAACACAGTTGTTTTATAAATGCATGTATAATTGTTCATAATAAATTGTCAGAGAAGTAGTTGCTTATTTCATAAAAGTATTTACAACCTATCTTATCTCTTCATTAAATTCCTCTCTCTTTGATACTTCATTATCTTTGTTGGAGAATGTAAGGTACTTCTTCCACACATTAGGGGAGTGTAGGATGGATACCTAAGTAGACCATGAATGTGATAAGGAAGTACTCCAAAGAGGAATGCTACCCACCCACTCTGCCTGCAAAGCAAAAACTCACTCTCTGTGCTACTAAGTACATTAGTAATCTTTTGGGTTCTACCTCCAAAAATAACTGACATTCATATATGTTCCAGTGTCAGCCCATTTTTTTTTTTCACTTGGAACTACAGCAACCTAGTCTAAATGGGCTCCTTGCATTCCACCCTCCACATATATGATACAGATTTTTTTACAAAATCATTTGTTTCCAGTGTTTTTATATCCTTATATTTCTTACATTTGTCTTTTTAAAACACTATTTAGTCAGTATTTGTTTTTTCCATCTAACCTTGACAACCTTTTTAATTTAATTTCTTTTTAAAATAAGTACTTGATGTATTTGGATTTAAGCCCACCATTTTTTTTGTGCCTCCTATTCTGGTACCTTTTTTCTCCAGTTTTTGCCTTTTTTTTTTTTTTAATCATTTGCCCCTCCCCCCATCATTTGGCATTTATGCACTCTCCATTACTTTTAATTGTTACCCTAGAGATTATCACACACACCTTATCAAAATTTTACATGCAGAGACCTTTAGAACACTTTACCTCTATTTAAAAAACTTTCACCCTGTATGTATATCTTTCCTGTTTAATTAAACCCATCTATGGATTATCTTATATTTTTTACATATTTTATTCCTCTATACATTCATCTCCTATACACTATTTTGTGTATTCCATATTCAGTTAGGATTACCCATTTTACATCATCCATTTTGCTTTTTTCAAACATTCTCTGTCTATCTGGGATCACTTTCTTTTACTCTTAAGAATACTCACCTCTTTAGTGAAGATCTGCTGGTACGCAGTTCTTTCAGTTTCTGATTTACTTAAATTGTCTTTATTTTGCCTGAGTGGTTAACTAATATCTCTGGTATTGAATTCTAATAGGAAAGGGTGTTTGTTTTGTTTTATTTTAAGCACTCAACATATTATTTCATTGTCTTTTTTTATTGCGTTTTCTGCTAACGTCAACTGTCATTTCTATTGTTGGTCATTCAGTGGTAGTGTGATTTTTTTTCTCTGACTGATCTATGCCTTGATTGTCAGCCAGGATTTATCTTTTTATTTAACCCTGAAGTTCTTCAACCTTCTTGGCTAACTGTGATATAACTGCTTTTGCACCACTTTCTCTTCCTTCTGGAATTCAGTAATACTGTTAGATCTTCTTTGTGTGTCTTCTTTCTCTTTCCTCTCTATTTTCCATCTTTTGTTTTTCCATACTTCAATCTAGATATTTTTTATAATCCATTTTCCAGAGTTTGCTCATTTTTCTCTTTAGCTATTTGTAATCTGCAATTACATTTTTTATATTATATTTTATTTATGGATATATTTTTTGCTTCTAGAGTTCTTTTTTTTTATTGTTTACAGATCTTCCAAAATTTTCAATCTTGTCTTTTATCTTCTTGAACATAGTAAGCATGATTATTTTAAAGTTTGAATCAGAGATGCTCTGTTTTGTTATGTATTGTTTCTGCTTATTTTCATTTATGTTTTATTATCTTGTATGGGCTTGGTTATTTTTTATTAGACCCAAATAACTATATTTGAAAAATAGTCTGTAGAAGTAACTTCAGGCCTAAGATGATGTCTTTCCCCAGGAGTATACTTGTATTTGCTTCTCTCACATGTCTGCAGCCAACAGAAATCTGGATCATCTCACCGCATTTTCAGTTTTTGATGCTCTAAAGTCAGTCTACAGTCACTGCAAGGGCTTGTGTTCTTCTGCTTTACCCTCTGTATCGAGAATGTAGCCCTTTGAAATCAAAGCCCAAAGCAAGATGGTTCACCAAGCCCTGGGCTCTAGTTTGTATCTCCCTGCACTGCAAAGGTGTCAAAGGCACACCTCAATCTCTTAGCCATCCCCTCTAGAGTCAGTAAACACCCTCTGGGGAAAAATAATCCCAAATACTTGGCCTCCTTAGGCCTCTGTATTTCCCTGGATCCTGACTTGGCTTTTCTCCACTATTTTGTTGGTTCTCCATTCACAGATTTTTAGCCCTGCTTTTCTACTTTGCTCAGTACAGAGTTGGTCCTAACAGTCTAGCCCATCATGGTTAGAAGCAGAAGTTCTCATTAGGTACTCTTTTCCCCTCTACTGACCCTGAAAGAATTTGTCTAACATATAATGGAGCTCAGTCTTTTCTCTAGAGAAAGCTCATTCTTTTTTCAGAGCAATTAATTGTTAGAATATTTAGTGATGTCTGTTTTGAAGAATAGTTCCTAGTTTTATTTTAAGACATTAGCAATCTATTGCTGTATAACAAATCGTACCAAACTTAACACCTTAAAACAACAAACATGAATTATCTTATGGTTTCTGTGGGTCAGTAGTCTGAGGGCAGCTTAGCTGCATGGTTCTGTTCCCTCATGAAGTTCTGCACTTTTTTTTTTTTTTTTTTTTTTTTTTT